TACACCAGGAAAAGTGTAAATTTACACTTCGCAAGTGTTGGTATACTTTACACCGAATAAGTGTATATTTACACTATCGCAATGCGTAAATTAACAGGAAAAGAGGTAATGTTACACCGTTCTAATGTAAATCTACACCGAATTAGGTGTAAATAGAATATTTTCTACTTTACACCTAGTAAGTGTTACCGAGACACTAAAATAGTGTAAAGTTACACTGTGGAAGTGTAATGTTACACTCGAACGGTGTTTAATTCCGCGTTACACCTAATTAGTGTAATGTTACACCTTTTTGGTGTTGCCGCAACACCGCGAGATTTACAGTGTGAGTAAAATAGTCTAAATTGATTTAATTGTTAAATGAACAACTCAGTAGATATAAAGACTTACATTAACTTTAACTATGTTTGAGAAAAATTCTGTCATAAAATCTTTTTTCAGATAAAGAGTATTTCAGAATGGCATTTCAGAATATAAGTTCTACCAACCAAAAAGAATAAAAAGATCCAAAAACAACAATAGAAATTATATAATATAAACTCCATTTAAACTCCACTCCTTAGCTTGGCGCCATATTGAATTTCGCGGTCGCGCTGGTAAAGGCCTGGGGACTAGGTGCTCTACCGTATCTGAAATAGCCTTCACCATCTCTGAGGAAGGTTCTGAAATAAACAAACGTACTGGCTGACTGGATAACAGTTCACCATAATGAAGTCAAGATTAATTTCGCACTTTGCCGTGAATTTAACAATTTTTACTTGATTTAAATTTTTGTTGTGTACACAGGTATATCAAATATGTTGCTAAGACACTACTATGCTTTTTCTTGTAAACAAATGAAGAAAAACAGCAAAATCATTAAAACATTTGTATTGCATGACAGAACAGTATATAGATTTGCAAGTTTTACCACTATAGAATTTCTTCTCGGCAAGCGCGACGAAAAACTCAACATGAACACTGTTAATTCACAGAAATATTCGTCCCGCTGCGCCACACGTCAAGATAAAAGATCATTAATTAATAAGGAAAATTACTAAAGAGCTTTGGTACTTTTTCACGTGTTTCACAATGTAAATTTGTTCACGCATGCATACCCTGGATCATGCAATGGGCCGGGTTTCCTATATAGGTGCAACGTGTATAGCTTGCACTCAGGCGTATTGTACATGCCTATAAAACTGGCCCGGCACTAGAAAATGTGATTGGTTAGTAAAAAGATACGGTCATGCAGTTCCTAGTTTTGTAGCTGTTTTCGGCCCCGACAAACTTCATTTGTGTAACGCGTATGCAGTAAGCTCCCTGCAAAACGATACAGTGTGTAGTAACCTCATTCAACTGCCTGGGTAAAAACTAAAGCTTAGCTGAAAGAAATTTAGGAAACGTCATTGTGAGAATGAGACCGTTGTTCAGTACCCTGTTGTAACAAACTATTATAAAACTAAAATATTGTACTAATTAAAATAACATATATCAAACATGCAGCTGGGAAACTGAATAGTATGCAATACTTACTATCTTCCTTTGTTCGCGTGGTCATTTTTGCTCCAAGCGGTCCGAATCCAATCTTAGTGGCAGCTTGGACTGCGACTACATATTCCGTGTATTTCCCCAAGTTAGACAACGTTATAAGACGAACATTACCCCTTGTTTCCCGAACTGGTAAATTGCAGATATCCTCAGAAGAGGATGCATTCTTGTAGCAAACACGATATCGTGTTATTACACCATTTGCATCATCTTTATTCAATTCGTCCCAGGTAACGTTCAGCGACGTTGAGGTATCAGCCATAACATTGATAACAGGCCCTTTATAAGGCCCTTAAAACAAAGAGAAACATTATATATTATACATGAGTCATGACAATCACCTCAACGAAAGACGTTTAGTAGGCGATAAAATAATTCAAAACACACAGCACTCGTTGAGTTACATGAAATTTTAGTTCATTCTCTGTATAGAGCATGTAGGAAACAAATTTAGCCCACTAATTTTTATCAATAGTTTAAATTTTCTCAAAAAAGTGAAGACCCCTCGATTATTGCCCGTTTAATCGATTAATTTACGTTATTAAGTATGTGTTCATACGTTTTGTCAGCCGAACAGTGAATCATATTGTTTTCCAGACTGCTGGCTAGTATAATGGATTGGATACTAGTCGAAACAACCACTCGCCCCCATTTTCCAAACACTGTTTTAACATGAAGTACAGTTATTGACGCCAACACTGTACCCAGGCTCGCGATGCCACGTCATGTTAGCAACACGACCATTGGTTTTTTAAATTTTTTGTACAAAAAGGCAAAAATAAATTAATTTATTTTAAGTATAATTTTATAACTTTTAACCACAGAACTATCGATTTTTAAAAGATATGAAATAGATATGTTATTTGGCATTGTATATGGGCTTTGTCGCTCATTGCTGTCCTTTTTTAGCTTTTGTAAAAAATAGGTACGCTAAGTGAACATGCATCTGCGACAAATATATAGACAAAATTATAGACAAATTTATACCAAGCACATGATTGGTCACATGCATGAAGTAATGTGATTGGCTAGACAAAAAAAACCTGTTTGTAAATCTCAGAGAACATGATGTAAACAAAATACAGAAATAATACGAACGAATTAAAATGCTTTACTTAGTGTGGGTTATTTGAGATTAACTTAGTTTGTTCCGCTACGAACTTAAAAATATTTTCTGCGCTGGAGAAGGCATGACATGTTCACTCTATTAATATTTGTAAAATATAAAGTGTTGCTCATTCCTAGCTTATGATCGTTCAAGGTTTTAAATTTTGGTAATTCTTTGACTTTAATAGTTATTAATACGATTTACTTTGCCAATATTTTCCCGTTGTCCTTTAAAGACAACCATACTGACTCCGTTGCAGATATAGATATAAATATTAGGCCTATTCGTTCACTTTTGACTTTTTATACGTTCACTAATAATACTAGAAATACATGCATGCAACAACCCCTCGCCTATATTCTCCAAACACTCGTCTCAACATGAAGTATTCGTAATTACGTCAACACTGAACGCAGGCTCGGGTTGCTCACGTCATATTAGTCATGGCAACACAATAGTTATTTAATTTTTTGTACAAGCCTGCCAACAAATTTTGGATGAAACTTGAACACTTTTAAATACAGAACTATCAATTTTTAAAATATATGAAGTACTGTAGGTATATTGTGTTGTTTTCCATGGGCTTTATTTTAATGTAAATTTCAAAACGAAACTCTACGTAAACGTTTTTAAATGTGATTGAAATCAACTGCTTTTTGCCGATATTAAACTCTTCAACTTGAGCTTCAACTTTATATTACTCGCACTTTGAAATGAAATAAATTTAACTCGTGCAGGACGCTAATGAAATAATTTGCTTTCCTTTTTATCATGTACTTCTACAACAATGCATAGGAAAGATTTAAACAGCAAGAACAAAGTCTATGATAATAAAAAGTCATACATAAACAATTGAAACAATCTTGCCCTATACTTGAGGATTTCTCATACTAAACCAATTCTTATCAATGTTTACGTTTAAAAAATGAAAATATGTTTTACAATTTGTTATGTCAAACGAATTTCGAAGCTTTCTTACATGTATTTTTTTGCATTTTCCCCTTCTTCACTCCTGGAAAACAGCCATATTTTGAGATCAGTGAGATGACCACCAATACACAATGCGCCCGCGATGCTTGATGAACTTTAGACTTCGCTAGTGCGTGTAGTGATTGACAGTTATACATAATTTATAGAATAAATTATAATGCGCGGGAAAATAAGAACACATGTAATTAGGGCGAGAAGGAGAAACATGGAGTTTGTATTTAGTAAGTAAAGGAAAATATATAACTGTAACAATTGTTTGATTACTACATTGGCGACGAGGATAAATTATGGCAATGAATGGCTTACAGCCAATGCCTTTGTTCGAACCGAAAGCTGATCCAACGAATTCAAGCGCTCGATGGACACAGTGCATTCAACGTTTTAACACATATTTAGTCGCTTCAAAAGTGAAGGATACTGCGCGTAAAAGAGCACTATCATTGTATCAAGCTGGACCTGAAGTTCACGAGATATTCAAAACATTGCCTGACACAGGAGACGAGAAAAATTACGAAGCTGCTGTCAACGCCCTCACTGCACATTTTGAACCAGAAAAAAATCGAATCTATCAAACATATATGTTTAGGAAGCATCTCAACAAGATAATGAAACCATCGACGAATTTCACACACGCTTGAGACGATTAGCAAAACATTGTGAGTTCGTGGATGTTGAATTCGAAATCAAAATGCAAATTGTGTGCAACGGTACATCCTCGAGACTGCGTAAGAAAGCGTTAAAAGAAAGTAATTATTCCCTCAAAGATATGTTGATCGATGGTCGAAAATCAGAAACCTGCAGTGCACAAGCCATGCAGTGGCATGGAAGAAAATTTAAGGATGTACAACTTAATTAAGTTGAGAGAAAACCTGCTCAATCTAAGTGCTATAACTGTGGATTTGCTTACCCTCATTTGGATCATCCTTGTCCGGCCGCAAATTCAAGTCATTTCTCTAGAGTGTGTCGAAAGAAAGAATCGCGTCGTTTTTCCAAGGCACAAATAGCACAAGAATCTCCTCGACAACGAGAACAACCAAAAGAGCCGTTTAAATCCTAATCCACGAGAAACAAGCGAAGAAATCGTATTGACAGCCCGTCAACAAACATCTCGATTCATCGACGAAGACCAGTTCTGAGGAAGATAGCGACCCAAAGACGAGAGCAAAAATACGAGTTAATTCTGTTGAAATCAATTTCATTGTTGACACGGGAGCGACAGTTGACGTTATCGACACCAAAACTTATGATGACCTCAAATCCAGCATGAAATTATGCAAAAGTACGACCAAGATATTCGCTTATGGTTCAACCAAACCACTACCTCTTAAAGGTGAATTTCAGGCAACGCTAGAATCGAACAAACGTTATACTGTTTCTGTTATTCACGTTGTCGAAAGCGGCTCTGGAAACCTACTTAGTGCGAAAACCGCTCAAGATTTGGCATTAATTCAATTAGTAAACAAGGCCACGGAACTTGAAACGCCGCCGAAACCGGAAGCCTCTAAACCGGAAGTTTCTAAACGGGAAACTCAGCCCATACTGCCCGGAAACACGGAGAACAGGGATAAACAGCAGCCAATGCCTCATGCATCGACGCCAAAATGCGAAGACCAAGAGATCCAGAAGATTATTGATAAGTACGCAACTGTTTTCGTTGGTGAAGGGAAATTGAACACTCAACAAGTCTGGTTACATATTAATGAGAATATTAAACCAGTGGTTCAACCGCAGCGTCGTATACCATACCATATACGCAATGACGTATCAAAGGCGTTGCAGAAATTGGTTGTGGAAGATATGATCGAAAACGTCTGTGACCAACCTACACCGTGGATTTCGCCAATTGTGTGTACCACAAAGAAGGACGGTGGAACACGAACCTGTGTTGACATGAGAGCAGCCAACCAAGCGATTAAGCAAGAAAGGCACATTAGGCCAACGCTTTAATTTCTGATTTCCAAGCGGAAATGAATGGATCAAAATATTTTTCAAAAATTGATATCAAACAGGCGTACCATCAACTGGAATCGAAAGAAGAAAGTCGGTACATAACTACATTCTCGACGCAGGAAGGCCTATTTCGCTACAAACGACTGAACTACGGAACGAACAGTGCGCCAGAACTTTTTCAGAACAATAATAAACAATATTGCAGATGACATCATTGTTCACGGGAAAACGCGAAAGCAACATGACGAATCATTAGAGAACTGTTTGAAACGACTAGCTCAACTCAACTTAAAAGCGAAACCTGAGAAGTGTAGTTTCCTGCGCAACGAGATTAATTTCTACGGTTTAATTTTTACGGCAAATGGAACAAGACCAGATCCAGCAAGAATTGACAACTTAGTCAGAGTCAGCGCTCCAAAGAATGCCAGCGAAGTACGTAGTTTTTTGGGTTTGGCGAACACGTGTCGAGAGTATGTTCCAGAGTACGCCGTAATTACTACACCATTGCGGGATCTCACAAAGAAAAGTGTTGCTTTCACTTGGAACCACACCCACCAAAGAGCCTTTGAGCAGATTAAAAAGAAATTGACATATGCCCCTACCATGGCATACTTTGATACCGAGAAGAGAAGCTTGCTTATTGTTGATGGATCCCCTCACGGAATTTTTGCTATTTTAGCACAACGTGAGAAGTCAGGAGAGTCGTATCGCATTATCTCCTACGCCGGAAGAGCCCTGTCTCCAGTCGAAATTCACAGACTGACATCGAAGGGTTGAGTCTAGTGTGGGGGATAGAACATTCCCGACTGTTTCTCCTGAGTACTGAATTTGATGTTTATACTGACCACAAAGCTCTGGAAGCAATCTTCAATAATCCAAGATCAAAACCCCCAGCTCGTATTGGACGCTGGATGCTACGACTGCAACCGTATAACTTCCGTGTGATTTACAAGAAAGGAACAGTTAATGAAGCCGATTACCTGAGCCGTCATCCTACCACCACTAAACAAAAAACTACAATCGAAGAAAAGATTGCAGATAATTATGTGAACTACATCATTAACAATGCTGTACCGAAATCAATGACACTTCAAGAAATCAAGGAAGCCACCTTGTCGGACACCAATTTAAAGAAAGTTTTAGAATGCTTGAAATCGGGGAAATGGGAGGAGAAGGATGTGGAACTGAAAGCTTATCAAATGTGCGCGGAAGAACTAACAGCAACGAAGGCAGGAGACCTTCTTTCCAAGGGGAGCAGAATTGTTATACTGTATAACAGTATTGTATTGTTACTGTATTGTTAATTGTTATTTTTATGGTCCTATACCACACAGTGAACAATACTTACTTGTCGTGACTGACACATACTCTAAGTTTCCAGAAGTAGAAATTGTTACGTCAACTTCAGCGAAAGCCTGCATCCCGAAGTTAGACTGCATATTTGCAACTCATAGTATACCGAAAAAGATTAAAACTGATAATGGACCACCTTTTAATGGGAATGATTTTAAAAGATACATGGTTGCCTTAGGAATTGAGTGGAAAACAAGCACTCCGTTGTGACCCCAAGGCAATGGAAATGCCGAAAGTGTGATGAAACCGTTAGCCAAAGTGATAAAAACTTCCATGTTAGAGGGAAAGAATTGAAGACAAGAACTTCAAAATTTCTATTAAATTACCGCTCAAAACCGCATGCCACTACAAAGATACCTCCATGTGAACTACTATTTAATCGAAAGGTGCAAGGAAGTCTACCCGAGCTGTCAACACAAACCGTCGTAAACAAGCACCAAAAGGCCAAGGAAAACATTGACAAGAAGAAGATCGGTAATAAGCAGTACTAAACGATGCCAAGAAAAACACCAAGACATCCAAGATCAAGGAAGGGCGCATTGTTATCTGTAAACAGAAACCAAACAACAAGTTATCTCCAAGATTCAATCCCGAGCGATTTACGATTGTGGAGAGGAAAGGCGCAACATCTATGGCACGAAATGGCAGACGCACCATCACCCGTAATGTGACTCATTTCAAAGTAGTCAAACCTGTAGACGAACAAAGTAGTGATGAAGAGAAGTCAACTACCGTGGAAGATGTACAGGACAACAGGATCGGAGATGATATGCAGGACTTTATAGAAGAAAGTCACTCGATATCAAGAAGATAAACGAGAATCAACGACCTGTAAATAGATTTGGTCACTCAATACCATCGGGACTAATTTCATAGAACTTTAGTATGATATGAACAATAACGAACAAATCATAGTTATTCCGTTGAGTTTTGTTAATTTAAAAAAAAAAAAGAAGAGAACAATGTAGTGATTGACAGTTATACATAATTTATAGAATAAATTATAATGCGCGGGAAAATAAGAACACATGTAATTAGGGCGCGAAAGAGAAACATTGAGTTTGTATTTAGTAAGTAAAGGAAAATATATAACTGTAAAG